CACAGCTCAGCTGTTTTCAGAGTTGAAGATGGCTCACTAAGGTGTCCTGAACTGCAGCCACAGCAAAGTAGCATAACGAAACATAAGAGGTTCTTGAACTAGAATTCTCTTATCCAATGGTGATTTTCATGCAGTTTACAGAGAGAAATGTCTCTTGTCATTGAGATGCTTTATCAAAACCTTTGTTAATCTGCATAGACAGATAAAATTGCCCAAGGAAAAATTTTCATCCACAAGTTGTTTGGGAGAAACAGTTTGAAAAGGCCTCTCTAATTCCTGATGATACTCAAGGAGACCTAAAAATAGTTTAATTATTACTACCCATCACTCACTATTATTGAAGATCTAACATGTAAACTGCCACCTAGTCATACTCATGGGGAGTTTCTGTAGTAGAAATTATAAAAGCAGACTCAAAGAAATATAATCTCCCTACTCGGTAGGGACACACACTTAACTACAACTAAAAATAATTAGCATTTAGTTGGTAATGTAGCTCAGATATCATTCAATATTTCTCCTAAATAAAATGGATGACACTATGAGGTACATGGATGGATTGTGGTACAGAATGTCTAAGCTACTAAGGGTAAAGGTCTGTAAGGATCTTTAACAGCAGAGCCCCAAAGCATCCCCAATACCTAAATCAGTATTCTGGACCCTGTATAAGTGACCAAAACCACATTACATTAATGAACATATTTTTAACTTCATTTACACCTTTTCCAAGATGTTTTGTTTCTATTATTCACAATATTTCATTACATCCCTAAAAGCAAAAGGAAATTACTAATGAATGGCTTATGAACTAATAAAATTTCATTACTATTTTTCAAGATCACATATGTCATGTGAATTCTTTTTTAAATAGAAGAGCAGTATAAAAAGTAAAATGAGTAGCAGAAATGTCTAGTTTAAGGAGTAAGGATACTGTTCTGGAATAGAACGGTACAATATCCAACAGGACAATATTGTCACGGTTTGACACGGAAAAATAATTTTTCTCAGAAGGAAGAGGTCAATTTGGATATTGACCAATTGAAGGTGGACACACCTCTGAGAACACAGAGGGGTTAAAAGCAGAATTCCCAGGAGAACTCGCTCTCTTTGGTTCCGGTCAACGTGCAGTGCAGCCTCTCCCCTGCCCGGCCGTGGCTGGGTGGGGAGGGGGAGGCCCATGGCCTGACTGAGGTGGGCCCAAGGGTGGAGGGACTGGAACCCCCTGCAGATGGAAGGAGGGAAATCTGGGATGTCTCCATCCCCCCCAGAGTCTCTCTCTCTTTCTCAAGAAAGAGACAGCAGCGGCTTGTCAGCAGTTCACTGCGGGGAAGGAGAAGAGCGGGGTGGGGGCGCAAGGTGCCCAGCTGCTGTGGGAGCTGGAGTCTGGGCATCAAACCATCCTTGGGAGTTGGGACTTTTAATCCTTCCTTAAGAAATTAAAGCTTTCTGAAATTTTTCTCCTCCTTGGTTTGGAAGAGAGGAAGAGAGACAGCCTGGAACCTGGGATGTTGGAAGGAGAAATTCTAGGTGGGAGGAGATGATGGAGTGGCTTTTGGCTGGACTTTTTCTTGGTAGCCACAGACTGAATGGATCTTCTCCTCCAACAGAGACTGTATTTTAGGAGGATGCCAGTGAGCCAAGAGACCTGCTTCAGCTGGAGAAAGACAGAAGTGGAGTGAACAGAGAAAAGTTAGGGAGGTTTGTTGTGGTGCCCCCTGTCTTCAGAGAAGAAGAGAAGAAGATCCCTGCTTTTGGACCCTCAGCCCCAGGGGAAAATGGGGGTGACTGTGGTCCCAAAAATGAAAAACTGAACTGTTGTTTTTTCCCCTCTTGGCAGGGCATCCTTGAAAGGAAAAATCCTAAAAGCAGTCTGTCCATCCATGCATTGGTGGTGAAACCACTGTGCATGGAAAGGAGAGGGACACCATGGCAAACTTCTTCTCTGGGCGGTGCCATGAGTGACATGGAAACACAGGATGTGGAGCTGTGTTTCTAGGGGGGTCTGTGGCACAGGAGAGACTCCTCTCTCCCTTGATGGACTGAGTATCGATTGTCTGGAGGGTGGAAACCTGACTGGGGTCCAGATCGTGTCTCACTGTGGTTTGTTGGAGTTGGGTGGTGGGAGGAGGAATGCTTTGGAAGGTTTTAATTTTGAATTTTGTGTGTGTTTTCTTCTTTCTTTTTCCTTTTATAGTATTATAGTAGTAGTAGTAGCTTAATAAAGTTTTTTTTTTCCTTGTTATTGAGCTTGGGCCTGCTTTGCTCTGTTCTCAATCGCATTTCACAGCATTCAATTGAGAGATTGCATTTTCATAGGGATACTGCCATTGTGCAAAAGAATAATCAGTAAGATTGATTAATGAATCAATTATATTCATTTTATGAAATGAATCTATGAAATTTTAACCCCAAATTTATATTTTACTTAATTGAAAAAATGTTCTCAATGAGCACAGTATTTCAGAATATTCCTATCATGCCTTAGCTATTAGTTTAAAGGTAGAAATGCTTATACACTCTTCCAAACTTGTCCTATTAATCTATCATAGAAACAAAGAACAGTTGAACTTGGACTGAGACAGTTTTTTTACTCTTAAATCTGTGCTAATTAGAAGCAACTGCTTTAACTGTGAGTATAAACCAATAAATGTAACTGTTCCTCTTCCTATAGAAACCTAATTTCTTGCAAACAGACATAAAACTCACACAACATAGGGTTTCAGAAGTAGAAATAGCCAACTATATGACTACTTTTATTTGCTTTCTATTCAGTTTTTCTCCCTGAAAACAAATAACCCTTTACCATTTATTGCATGGAGTTCTCATCCTCTGTGATTCCTTACCAGTTCAACAATAAAATTCAGGAGGATTACAGACCAGTCTGTTTTTCTCCCCAGAACCTTACATATCACATAATACAGAAATTTGAAACAGTATTCCCAAAGTTGCCATGTCTCAGTGACACAAAAACTGAGGGAAATTCAGGGAAAAAAAAATTGCAGAATTAGATATTTATTTTAAATAAATGATCTATAATCATATGTAACTTATTCAAGCAATAAATCTACACAGCCTTAAGTGGCAGGATACAATTACATCTAATGCTAAATACCTTATAGAATGACATGATTTATTTAATTTGGTCCATTTCTAGTATAAGATAAAAGCCAAAATTATTTCAGATATGGCTTGCAAGGCAGGCCATTTAAAAAACTTATACATTTATAGCTCAAAATAAAACCACGTTTTTTCTATACAGCTGAATGTTCTTCCCAATAATATGCCAAGAGGCAAATATCATAGTGGTATATGGAAAACTAATAGAAGGGATTACAGTATATTTGTATTCTCAATGCATTGATCTTGTTAGATCATCTAAATATCATGCGTGCCCTCATGAATGTCCTACAGTTTCCTTGGTTATACTCTAGGCCTCTGATACACACTATTTTAAACTACACAAAACATACTTCCAGATTAAGACACAAAAATATCCTTAATAGGATCTGTGTTTCATGCTGATCTTAATGGACTTACTATACCTAAGAAAAATGCTTGTGTTCAGTGGAAAGCACAATTCCAAAACTGGTATTTTAACTAGTGAAAACTCCGTCTTCTTTTAAAAATACTAATTATAATGGGAAGATCTGTTGTTGAGCCCCATTATTAAGAAGACAGGTAATGAATTCCCCCTACCAATTTATTTGGTATGTGTATCAGTCTTTCCACTGCAATACATATGTTTATGGTAATTATTCAAGTAGAAGTGTGAAAAACAAAGATACTTTATCTTCTTCCTCTACTGCAAAGCAACCCACAATACTGTCCTGCACAGACTAATGTTTTTTTAGATTATAAAAGTCATAAACAAGCAGTAGAAGCAAGTAGCCATGCTGATGTTCAAGCCAGATGCTGGTCCATTCTGTGCAACTATGCTATAAAGACGCTATCCTATTTTCTGCCACCTTTTAGGCTGCTGCTTATAATGCAGGTTCCAGCAAGTCTTCTTTAACCCAAATTTAATAGAGAGGTGGGAACTATGATCCACTCCACCTTATCTTGCTATCTGGTCCTCATACACTGTGCACAATATAGCTCTGGCACTCTTTCAATATTAGTTCAGCTGTGAAATCAAGAAGGCACTTCCCTTACACAGACCAGATCAGTAACATGATGGTAGTCAACAATCATCTGTCATCCTTGTACATTACTCAAATCATGATTCCTAATCAAGATCCAACAGGTCAGAAGGCCAATTGCCTGTTTCAAATAGGTCTCTGCTGCTGAGAACTGTCATTTGTCAAAGCAGTCAAATTACTTAGAGCAATATTACTATATTCTGAAATTCCTGTACCAGGTGGTGACTAATGAAGAGTTCAAACAAGGGTAATGGAAGAGATAATATAATTTTGGAGAACACATACAGAATTCTTACACATAGGATAATACTTAAAGATAATATCTGACTTAGCATAATTCTATTAGTTTTTAACTATTTCAACTTATTGCTTTTCAAACCTATATATATAACACAAACAGCAGTCTGTCAAACTTTCATTTAATACTTTTCTTAATTCTCATTCATATTTAATTTTCAAAAATGGATCAGATATTCATTCACATAACATGAAAAAGCAGAGTACTTTAAATTTTGAAGTAGTTCCATAATGTCGTTGCTAAGGGGTGTTTAGAAAAACAAGAAACAAGTTGGTTAAAGGATTACTGCAAAAGGCTTGTCTACAAGACACTGTTTCTAAGTTGGCTTTTTGCAACCTTGTATTTATCCAGAAAAGTATTTCAACATCTGCTTTCTTTTCACTTCTACAACATTTTGCTATTAATCTTTATTTTGATGTGGAACTCTTATGGTAGATAATGGAAAACTATAATCATACTGTGCTAAATAAACAGAGTACTGCATGCTTAAAAACATAAACCTACATATTCTACAGATTAACACTTACACCAATGACTGTGTAAAGGATTATTTGGTGATTTACCTGGTCTTGAGGAAGGAACTCTTGCTATCTCTAGGGAACAAGGCTTTTTGGTGACTGCTATGTCTATCGAATCACAAAGAGTGCTGTCATTTTCTGAAGGAACTGCATCCAGAGGTACAGAGGGTATTGCTTCCAGTGCATAACCTCTCTTCTTTGAATAAGATTCCTGAAATGCAAAAATTTAAGTAGGTAAGAGATATTTCTCAGATGACAGGTAAAGAACCAGGCTCAATAACTCTGGCTAGCAAGATTCAACAAATTAAATACTGCATTCTGCTGAAATCCAAACTGTAACAGACCAGAAGAATTGCATACTGGAAGAAAACATTTCTTAAGTCTTAAAATTTTTGAATAATACAGTTCTTGTTCAGTTTACAGAAAAACTATATTCATCAAACTTTGTATTTAATGAAAACTGGATTACTGCTTCTGCCATACCTAGGTTGTAATTCAAGGGACGTCTCATTTTATTTTTTAATTGTATCTCATAAGACCAAAAAATACATTAACCACTACAATTATGTTCTCTTCAGGGATGGTGTTACAGAATGTTTACATTACATATAAGAAAACTAAAAATATGCCTTCTACATATGGATAGCATGATCCCAGGCTGTGATGAAGATGAATTACTGCACTACGTTTGAGCAAAATATTGACAAAAGGTCCTATGACAGCAATACGTACAGCAAATTCTACTGATTAACAAATGTTGAGGGGGGGGGAAAAAAAAAGGAATTAGAAGTTTTGCTGGTACAGTAATTGAATCAAGCAGAGTGTTTCTAGTTTTGAACATGAATAAGAAGATAACATCCGGTTTCAACAGAATTTCACCAGAGATTTATTTTTTTAATCCCAGCAGAAAGCAATTGCATGGGCAAAGACACATTTTCACATCTTTCTTATATTGGACATGTGGATGTCTCTGAAAGTCAAGCATCAGACATAAATCAAGTAGGATATAATAAAAGGCAAGGGGCAAGAAGTTCCCTGACAGTTAGATATTATCATAGCCCTACTCAGAAAATGATTGAAGAATACAATGTCCAAAATGTGGAGTAACAATTTCTTCACCAAGAACTTGTATTACCTAAGGCAAGCTATGTCTGTAGCTAATAATGCTTTTTCAGATAAATGATTTATACTGTCAGCAAATAATTACATGACTCTTAGCCTTTTTTTTTTTTCCCTGGTCATTGTGCTCATTTTATCTTTATGAAAGTTCATCATTTGGCCTCTTGAAGGATAGGGTTGAGATGAAACCAAGAGCTGCTTCATTTCAAAATTAGTGATGACTTTAGTAGAGACGGATTTAAATCCCAGGTTAACTAACAAAGAACTTGAAAATGAACACTAGTAGCAGTGATCAGGGAAAAAAAATCATACAAATAAAATAAATAGATTAGAATAATAAAATAAATATAATAAATAAACAAAGAGAATAAATAATAAATAGAATACTTGTAATTAAAAAAAAATAGTACGTAGTAGCAAACAGTACAAAATTGGTGGCCAGCATTCAAAAAACATACCTAAAAGAGGAATGCGATTGCATCTCTGTTTCTCCCTTTACAGTTTCTACCTAGTCAGATTATGTGCTCTCAGTATTAGTAACCTCACATATAAAGACTAATAATAACTAGTTTCAGGTAGTAGAAATTATAAAGATTACAAAATTTTGCAAGTAGGCTTCCTGCAGCTCCAAATGTAATTTTATTAACTTAAGCCATTTTATTCCTCAAATGAAGTTAACAGAAAATTATAGAGGCATCAAAGCAGCTGAAGTGCAACTGCAGGACAAGAGAAGGAATCCTTCCAACCTTGAAAAAAAATTTTTTAGCCTGTCCATTTAAGTCTGCTATAAAAAGGCAGAGGCAAAAATTTATTTACCAAAACAATGACTGAAACAGAAAACTTCAATGTAATCCTTGTACTATTCTAGCAACATGAATTTATGTCAGAATGCCAAAACCCTACTTATTGTAAATCTGCCTAGAGAAGCCCATGAAGAAATAGTGAAGCCTTAAAATTGCCACAAAACACCCAAAGTGAAATTCTGTTCAGCACCTGAGTTCAGCTACATTTAAAAAAAAACATTAAAATTGATACACCAAACATTAGAATGGAGTTTGGATCATACTTTCTGTCACCCAGTATTCTGTCCGTAAAGGCATCCAGCAGTGCTGACCTAGAGAACAGTGAAACCAATATGAGATTAGGTCAAGCATGTAGTAACTGCTCCTCCTTCTGCAACACCTTGTGGGTCTCACACTTGAGAGTCAAAAGGTGCTGACTTTGTTTCACGTGTCTACCAATTCAACTTTCTAGAATTACCTTCTCAAGTTGCCTTTAGATCACATGTCCCCTTTAATAGTTTTCATGCCCCCAGTTTGCCCCCATTTTTCAGCTACCTCACCAAGTTTGACATCACCATTTTATACTTTAGATGGCAATGAAAGGTTGTTCTTCACTTATCCCCTCCTAGTGATGTTGCAGACATGTGCACTTCCCATGTCCTCTTCTTTAGGGAATGAGAAACACTAACCTACTTACCCAGCTGTTCCAGGATTTTGACCATCCCTGTCATCCTTCATCCTCTCAGTCTTCAATCATATGACAGCGATGGCATTTTCTCAGATTTCCTCATTTAAGATGAGGGCTCACCAAGCAGTCATACTGACATAATGATCTTCTGTACTCTACTCCTTTCCTAATTTCTCTTAGCATTCAGTTTGATTTTCTGAATGTTATTCAATATTCTGTAAGTAACTTTGCATGAATATAAATGTCAGAAGAATAAATAAAAATGATGGGGTTTCTCAGAAAACTGTTAGAATGTAAACTACCAGCAATTAAATTCTTCCTAATTATCTCTCTAATAAATAAAATACAATAATAGTATGTCCAGCAGAAGATAAACTAATTAGAGCCAAAAAAGAATTGCTAATACTTTAGAAAGCCAGCAATTCTATCAACCCATTAAGTGAAGATGATAAACCTTAACTAAAAAGTGTGTATGTAACAAAAAGAAAAAAGAAAATGCAGAAAGGCATTGTAAAGGCTCTGGTTGCTGCAAAATGTTCTCCATTTTGCTGGTACTGAGCATTCCTAGAAATTTCTAAGATCTAAACTAATTCACCGACTTCTACTTAGATGTTAGCAGATGTTGGAAGATTATAAGTATCATATGTGAAGCAATGTGATTCTGTTCTTTTCTAAGACTGAAAGCTCTTGACCAACTGCAATAACAAGTAACTACAGTAATTCTACATGTCCAATTTATTATTGACTCCAAAATAAAACCTCCTAAAATACTCGTCCCTTGTCTTTAGTTCCAAAATCAAAATGTGATTCTAATTTTTGTTTTAAAAATAGAGATTATTCAATCTCAAATTTCTATTAACCACTCCAAATTGCTGAACATGAGACATATAACTGACCACCAACATCAAGACAGAATTTGTCCTTATTTGAAATTATAACTTCATAAAAATAATGTGTTGGGCTGCTAGTACGTTAAAACAAGTTTGGAGTTTTTTGTGAAAGGATAAAAATACACACACAATGGAAGTAAAAATAAACCCCAACACTAAGAGTGAGTGAGTCACTCTAGTGGGAAGTCACTAGAGAACAACCACCCATACTATTCAATGTAAATTAGATTTTTTGTCTTGTAGAAAGAAACAGTAATGTGACACTGAAGTTGCAAAGCACATGCCAGGGACACACTGTGGCCCTCATTCATAGGCCTGCAGTCAGCTGAGTCTCCTCTGAGCATATGTTTGAAGGTATAATACCTATGATGCACTATCTGAAACTCGCACAGGGGGAGGAGGACTGTTAATCAGTTGGAATGAAATTGTTCCTAAAATACCTATTTTTAGCCACTGCAGAGAGTTATACACAATTGTGAAACAATGTGCCATAACATGACTAAATCTTCAAGAACTACATGATGTTGAATTAGACCTCTTTTTTCCATATTTTTTCCAGGTTTCCAGCTTCTCTTGCTTCTGCCTTCTATATAGTCTTGCCTTCCTTTTAAAAAGAAAACTGAATGATGTATGAATAAGGGCTGAGATATAAGCAGTATATGCAAGTTTGTGTTTGCATGAATAGAATGATAAAGGCTCAGGAGGCACCTAATCTGAACTGAAACTCTAACAAGAAGATAGAATTTGTACTTTATAATTTTTTTTTCATTCTGTCAATATCCTTTCCTATAAAAATAAGGACACTTGAAACTTTATTACTCCCCTGGAACATGGGACAACACATCAAGAGTCATACACAACTCTCCTCTTAAACTAGAAATAATCTGGGAAACACAGAAAATAAGAATTCAATGTATCTGCCTTTAGAATATTTTTCATTTATATAGATAATAAAGAACAGCTATTAAATTCTGACATACCCTTGAGATCCACCACGGTATTGTGTTGTCTCCTTGGGCTTGCTGAAGGCCAGCGGACCAGCATCTAGAATGCAGGTGGCTGCCCTTCCATCATAGTATGATAAATACTGCCCAGCTACTCCTTAGAAGAGTACTATGAGACTTTATTGCTGAAACTTTGAAGAGTTATTGATCTTATATGCTCCATCAACCCAAAGCTCCTGATTATCCTGAGAGTGAGCAATGAATATTGCATTTATCCCATGTATGCCACAGAATCATGGAATGCACCTTTAAAGGTCATCTAGTCAAACCCCCTGCTTCAGGGAAGGGTATCTTAAACTAGACCAGATTGCTCAGAGCCCCTCATCTTGAATGTTTCCCAGGATGGGGCATTTATCTCCTCCCTGAACAAACTATTCCAGTGATTCACCATCCTCACTGTAAAAAATATTTTCCTTACATCTAGTCTGAGTGTACTTGCATGACACAGACTTCTTGACATTTGTAAACAGACAAACCTTGTTGGACTGGGACACTTCACACTGAAATGTTAATGATAAAGATAAGGTGCTGAGTGGAATCAAGAATTCAAACAAGAAAGAAGTCCTGACCAGTGACTCAAGATAATTAGAACAGTTTTCTGACATGCAGCAATGTGGAAAGGGAAGCACATGAACCTGAATGGCATTGCACAAGTTTGCCACAATAAAGTACTGAGCATAAACAACTGAAAGTATTTCCTATGTCACAATAACCCAAAACCCCAAGTA